CATAGAGGAGAAACAATAATGTACAGTATGTGGAAAATAATGTGTTTTTGAACCTTAAACCGCATAAACACATTTCATTACACCAAATACACAAAATAATGTTCTTTTTAGCAACGTCATATGACCCCTTTAAATTGTCATGAGTTAACTCAATACATATGTGCTGAAGGCATACAAACACACCATCAGTTCTGCTTAAAGTTTGTTGACTTTTGCTCACCTTGTTACTAATAACAAATGAAACCGGAATCTTATCTTTTCAGAGACTGTAATTACATGTGATGGGTTTGTTTAGTGTGTCAGTTGTGGTAAGATGTTGTATTGTCACACAATTATTTATTTGTTGTATATTGTATGCAAAGAAGTGTGTGATGTAATGATGCTTTTCTTTTATTCAGACTCTGGGGTGATCCATGTGCAGTCAGCAAACTGTGGCCGCACAAGCAGCAAAATTTGCAGCATTGGACGACCCCAAAGTGAAACATCTAATGTTCAGTGTTCAATAGATGTCCCTGCGGTGTCTAAACGGTAGCAATCTTTTTCTTTCAAACTTCAGGCTGAAGAATTATTAAAATTGAGTCCTTACTCTGTGGCATTGCACTGATCAGCCCACAACATTAAAACCACCTGCATGATGTCCAGTGTTGGGCTAGTTACTCAAAGAATGTAATATGTTACTCATTACTAGTTACTCATTTCAAAAGTAATATTGTTACCTTACGTATTACTTTCTGGCAACAGTAATTAGTCACTACTAGTTACATTACTTTTTCTTCACGCCCCACAGAAGTTGTAACTGTGTTGAACTAAATCTTTCACATAAAATTCTAGTGATTGATAGTGACATTCAAGTAGAAGTGTTGTATTAATCTCATTAATTGTCATGTGTAGCTTGAAGCTAATTGTAATTTCTCCGTTGCCCATATACGATTATATTTCATTATGTATTTTATCAAATCACATACGTTTGTAAGAAACTTTAATTTTCCAAAAATATTTTTAATTATAGTAATATAATGTACCACATGCTGATCAGAGGGATGTGGGTGGGATGTAATGCCAGAGTAAAGTAAAGCCACAACATTGCTCAGATCATCTTTTTTCCTGACAAAATCAATATAATACAATATTTCTATCTGCTGAATGTAAGCTTTTCCATATTCCAAGCTTGCCTGCAGCACTGGGGACATCACATGCATGTGCGAGTCATGAAAATTATGAAAATAAATTATTTGTTATTATTTAATATTTAATAAATGATTTAATATTTAATAAATTATTTAATATTTAATAACTTATTTGATTGTTGGATTTTAAATTAGCGTGATTGAGGCATCAAAAGTAACTAAGCTGTTTTATGGATGGTAACTGTAATATGAAATCTTATTAGTAATTAGTTACACTACTAGTTACTGCAAAAAGTATTATTATTACAGTAACTAAGTTACTAGTTACTAGGTACTGCCCAACACTGATGATGTCATATAGCAAGGTCCCCCTCGTGCTGCTAAAACATCTGATGCATTGAGGCTCGAACTCCACAAGATACTTTTAACTGCTCATTTTTCCTGCTGTCAACACATGAAATTCAAGAATGGACTGCTCACTTGCTTCCTAATATATCATGTCACGTTAAAGATGCACATTTAAAAATATGCAAGTTACTTTTTAATGGAATGTAATCATTGTTTACATACTGGATGCTTTGCAGTTGTTACACATGTTAAATTTTGCAGTTTGGATGCTTTCATTGTGAACTGACTGGCTGAGTTTATTAAATTGACACCATTGCTGCATCTGAATATGCCTACTTCCATACTATAAAGTCGGTGAAAAACGGTACATGGAAAAGAGTATGTCCAAATTTATAGTATTCAAAAAAAACAAAAAAACAACAGTAGGTGAAAAGTACCCAGATGACCTACTACTTCTGCGATTCTAAAGTGTGCATCTGATGGTGCCACAGGATAGGAGTGAATGGTAGTGATGTGACACAACTGATGCTGCAGGTCATGTGACAGTAACATGACAGATGTATTCAGATGAATACATTTATACTACCAATATTCATAATACATGGAATGCACTGTAACATCAAGTAATATCGTACGACTAGACACAATGTGGTTTCAGGCGCAGCTCATATTTTTTACTTTGGGCATCTTTCCTACTGTAGTTGTTGGAAACTAATGTGACACAACTGATGCTGCAGGTCATGTGACAGTAACATGACAGATGTATTCAGATGAATACATTTATACTACCAATATTCATAATACATGGAATGCACTGTAACATCAAGTAATATCGTACGACTAGACACAATGCGGTTTCAGGCGCAGCTCATATTTTTTACTTTGGGCATCTTTCCTACTGTAGTTGTTGGAAACTGTAATTAACAAAAGTAGCGCAGAGGTTCCTGTAGCAGCTTAATAGTGACGCACAAGGCACTTAACTAAGCTGTTCAAAAAAATGAAGTATGGTCACTTTGACTGTTGTTGGTTATGTTGACTCATGTTTCCAAACATCCAGTTAGGACTGTCTTTATCCACAGATGTGATGGACTGAGAGAGTGTGAGATAAACACTCGAGAACTGGAACAAGATCCATGTTTTGGCACCTACAAGTACTACACTACCAACCACATTTGCATCCCAGCAGGTTTTTTTCTTTTTCCCTCTCTCTTCCATTTCCTGTTCATTAAAATGTCCTTTTCTGTGCAAGTCTGTAACTGCCGCCTTCTTCCAGAAACAAGTGTGACTTGTCAGGATGGATACAGTTACTTGAAACGTAGTGAGCAATTTTACTTTAACTTTGTTTCAATAGATTAGATCACAAATTCTTAAATGCTATTTTTTTTATCTCCATATAGAAAACGGTAGGATACTGCAAACTATGGACGTACAGATAAAATCATCTGCTCTGAAGGACGTCCATCCAGTGAGCTCCAAAACACCAACTGCTATTCACCCAATGCGCTGGCTCCTGTGTCCAAAAGGTAGATGGATGCTGTATGTAATTTCTGCTGTACCTCATTGTTTTTTGTAATGACTAATGTAAACCTCTCTTTTTTTGACATAAAGCTGCAATGGCCTGGAAAGTTGTGAGGTGTTTGCGACACATACAGTCTTTGCTGATCCCTGCGTTGGCATATACAAGTACCTCACGATCTCTTATTTTTGTGTCCCACCCGCAGTCCATGAGTGTCCGTTAACCTCCCTACTTCCTATTCATTTCTGTTCAGGAAGTGTCTGGAGTAATATTTTATTATACGTATCTGTACTTTTACTCAAGTACTTGATTTGTGTACTTCGTCCACCACTGCTTAATGGTAATGTCAGGAAAATGTTTTTAGAACATATTTTTGTTAGCTGGGATAAAGATGCAATGACTAACGTAAACCTTACTTTTTTGACATATGAAGCTGCAATGGCCTGGAAAGTTGTGAGGTGTTTGCGACACATACAGTCTTTGCTGATCCCTGCGTTGGCATATACAAGTACCTCACGATCTCTTATTTTTGTGTCCCACCCGCAGTCCATGAGTGTCCGTTAACCTCCCTACTTCCTATTCATTTCTGTTCAGGAAGTGTTTAGAACAGGGGTGTCCAAATTCTGTCCTGGAGGGCCGGTGTCCTGCAGAGTTTAACGCCAACTTGCCTCAGCACACCTGCCTAGAACTTTCTAGTATGCCTAGTAAGACCTTGATTAGCTGGTTCAGGTGTGTTTAATTGGGGTTGGAGCTGAATTCTGCAGGACAGTGGCCCTTCAGGAGCATGATTGGACACCCCTGATTTAGAGGAATTAAAATGCCAGCCTTATTTAGGAGAGAACATCTGAGTTCAGAGTTACTTGTCTCCTGTTTACCAGCAGCTCACAAACCAGTCAAGACCAGACATGCTTTTCAAAGGCATTATCATAGTACACACAAGCCCAAGCCTGTTTTATTTGAAAGATTATGGTGTTCACTTTATTAAACTGCTCTTGCATCCTCTGTGTTCTGTAGGTTCAAGTGTGATCTGCGAACATGCAAATAATACCCTGATGTGTGGTGTGTATTATGCTACATGAGCGCTTCTTATTTCTCTTTGAGAAAGTAGTATTAGTGTGTTTGTAGCAAAATTGCAAGAGCTGACTGCCACAAATCATAATGTATGACTTGTTTTTTCATCCAAGAAATGTAACATTTTATTACTAAAGCTGAATGTTATTTTTTTTCCGATCAAGGGACTGTCATACGCATTCACAGCACTAACTACGGCCGAACTGACAGCAGCACGTGCTCTACTGGACGACCTGCTTCTCAGCTTGCCAAAACTGACTGCTACGCCTCAAACTCCCAGGCAATGACTACTTATGTGTGAGTGTGCAAGCAAACATTTTTTACACTTTTCACATGTATTCAACATCTTAGCTGATTTTTCTGGATTTTCAGCTCCTAAATGCCCAAAATTCTTCCAAACACAGTAAAACCGACCCCCACCACCCTCCAGACTAAGTCAGTCAAGGTTATGTGTGGTTGGGTTTTTATTTATTTTTTTACTTTTTATTTTACCAGAAAATCTCATTGAGATTAAAATCTTTTACAATTTACTTATTTAATTTTTGTTGGTGCAAAGGAAAAAATAGCTGCTCCCTAGTCGCCTCCAATGGCGTCTTCTCAGATCCATGTACTAACACATTCAAGTATCCGTACGTCTCTTACAGCTGCATACATAACTGTAAGTGTTACTGTGTACAGTGAAATTGCTCACTTTTCTCTTTTACGGTTATTTGAGTTACTCCTGCATCAGGCTAGATTGACACTCTTCATGGTGGCTTTCTTTGGTGGCTTTCTCTTCATGGAGGCTGATGTTGTGGATTTGACGACTTCAGATCAGATTTGATTCAATTAATTTTTCTGAAACTGAAACTAAAGCCCCAATCTTCCTTGCAATAAATGCTTTGAAGATGTCTGTGCATGAAGCAGTGCTTTCGAGTCTGCAGTATGACTGATGGTGCATGGGATGGTTTATCATAAATTAAAACAAATGCCATTAAATATAGCCCAACTAAATGTGACCACACCAGGTACAGTCAGACTGGTGATTAATAGAGTGCATTAGAACTGGCAAATGGAGAACACAACATGGCTATTGCACTTTTACATGATGGTCTCTGTGGAACCATCATGGATATTTTCCAGTTGGTGGGTTGAGATTGGGTTTTTTTCTATCACTTTTCCCAATTTTCTAAACTCATAAGGCCTACACTTAACCTAGCGCCCAGTGGGTTAGAGCAAATTGAATAAACCACTTTAAAGAAATAAATAAATAAAAAATGCCCATCCTGGGGTGCGTTTCCCAAAAACAACTATGGTCGCAAGTTGTTGTTACCAATAGAGTTCAGTGGAACTTACCACCTAGTTAGCTAACGATGCTTCTGGGAAATGCCACCCCTGGTTGACTGATTGACTGGAGCACACAATATTTCACCACATCAGTTTTTCTTGCCAGTGTGTTGTTTCGGCTGAATATTTCAGTTGGGTGGTTTAGTAAAGTATCAGTATTGAATATAATGCTATACCCACACACTGATCTATTCATCATGTTGAGCAATATCAAACTTAAAGGTGGCATGAAACAGAAACTAGGATTGTCTTTTCTTCCCTGTTGTGACATACCCAGCTTCTCAAACAAAAAGTAAATGAAGGATGGGACTTTTGTCCATTTGATCATTGTATTGTTGTGATCATTTGATGAGAGTGAAAGGTGCTGCAGGGGAAGGATTGCTGAAAGTCATCTATTGGTAAAACCTATTGCCCAGGGAGGGCATGTTAATCTTTTCATTTTAAAGGTTACAATGACAAAAGAGATCTGCATGGATAAATTCAATATAAGTTTATTTGTATAGCACTTTTCACAATACATATTGTTTCAAAGCAGCTGCATGGAAAATGCATGTTTCAGTGTTCAGTATATAAAAGTAATGTCAATATGGTAGTATTATATAGCTATAAAATATGTATATATGGTCAGTAAACATCATGTATTCAATTAAGCAGACATAATGAACATGTTACAGCAATGATTACAGCTTGTGATCATTATAACTCTAAGGATAATATTAGACAGTTGTATGTTAATCTAAAGCTGGCGTCATTGGAAGTCTTAGCAAGTGATCTGCAATTTCCCATTTTGCAAAGTCAACATAAATCATTTATAATAAATGCTGAAACATTCCATTTAAAAAAAAATATTTAAACTTACAGCGTCATATGAATAGTAATCCTGTGGTTTGTTTAGGCTCTTACTAAACTTCTATGCAAAGCAACAGGGGTGAAGTCAATGTGGTCACCACAGTTTCCTTTTATCTACTGAATCAAATGAATATAATTATTAAATCTGCCCAACCAAGCTTAAAATGAAGAGGTGAATGTATTTGAGTTTGTGATTCAGAGATCATCACAATCACACTGAAACTCTGTCCTGCCCTCGCCAACAAACTGAAGCCCATTTAGTATGATATAACACAGTTCATCTCATCAGACAGATCCTCCTCAAAGCGTCCGGTCGCTTGTCCTGCCCTTCCTCGACTTATAAGGTCAGTTGCAGCACTCTCAATTTCATCAATAGTCATGTGACAGGCATCTGCAATTTCCCGCTTTGCAAAGTCAACAAATTTGGGGTCTTTGGCATATTGACCCAAGCCTTCAGAGATCAGGATCTAAATAAAAACAAAACAGAAAGACAAAGAGATGCTGGACCGGATTTACATTACAACCATCTGAAACCCACTGACTACACACAGCTGATCTCCATTTCACTATTTATGTGTCTGCTTAAACCAATTAGTTGCACCAGTAATAATTTAGGATATGCCATATCAAATAGAGTGCAAAAAAAAATAGAGTGCATTTTTTAAATGGAACCATCTATTGAACCCTATATCCAAAAATAATGTGTTTTGAGTATCATATTTGATACATCAGGCTTTTATGGCTCATATAGTATCGTTTAGTGAGAATATGAAGCTCATACTTGAGGAATATAACACCTCAGTTTTATTCAGAGGCCCAAATTGAGTGAAAATATGCAAATTGGTGCAGAAATTCTGATAGCTTGTAAATCAACGAGATCTTCATAACAGTAACTTACATAAAGTCTACTTACCTAAAATGCATATGAATATCAGTTGTCACTCTATATCTTTCAATAATATGTTAGATGTTGTTTAAATGCTTAGTTTTATGATCAGAATTCTGTAGTTTTCAACATGGGAGTCGATAATGATTGAGAGATGAACAAATGAACATTCCTCAAAAGACTGATAGATCATATTTGATACTAACATTTGAACATGACATATATGTATGGATAATCAAGTAATCCTAAGTTGCTTCAGTCCAGTAATTGTTCATCTTGAAATATTACAAGCAATATAAAATAGATTTCACAGCAAAAGTCACGTTAACCACAACCTGAAAGGGGGAATTTTTACAATTATACTAAAAGGCTTTTAATTTACCTTTCAAATATCATGTTGATAATTTAGAGGCCTTAGAACTTTATAGGGGTTATGTTTCCTCTTTTGTTAATCACAGCCAAAAAGCGAAATTAATCTATGCTTCACTGCTGTAAAGCAAAAAGTCCAGCTTGAATAGTTTTTATAGCCACTGTACCTGCACAAATAACAACTATACTTATTACTTATTTTCAGGCAAAATGGTAATTTTATACACCATTCAAAAAGCATATTTACCGACTCCACGAGGCTGTCAGCGCTTCCCTTCTCTATGTATCCGGGGCTGTGTTGGGACGGCACTCTGAGAGTGGTGTACACCTGAGGCTGCTGGGCCACGCTTGCCATTCCACTGCCAATCCATCCGGGACGGGCCGATGCCGGCAGACTGGTGCTGCCATTGGTGTCGCCCCACATTGCCTGAGTGCCCCCCACCTCGTTCACCAGAATGAGGGGGGCGTAGAGGAGACGGCCCCTTCTGGCCTGGTTGTTTGCCTAAGAGGCCGAAGAAACTCCAGATGAAATGCTGCTCCGCCGTGAGTCGTAGCTGTTGTTTGTCTGTTGGAGCAGGTACGTAAATCATTTTATTTTGTTGTGTGGAAAAAAGTGAAACTGTGTCATAATTTAATTGAATGTAATAATGAAATTAATTTAAATATATTTAATTAATTTAATTTAAATAATAATTAAATTTTTTTGAACCATGTTGATTTTGTTTAAAGTAAATTGCTGCTGTATTTTCAGAATGATACACAACATCTTTTCAACACTGTAAAGCCTGAATTATGAAATAAAATACAAAAAATGTAATTAAATACATTTTCTGACTATTGTTTAATTGAACTGATTGAACCTAAGATGTTTTTTTTTATTATTTAAAAAAAATGTTGCATACTTTTTTAAAAATGTAATTTGTTTTCTTTGCATTATATTTAATATATAAGGCCTTTATAGTAATTTATTGACAACGTTTTTTTATTACATTTACAATCCATGAAACCTATTTTGCTATGCGTTTATAGTTTCATCAGTGACAAGATAAGTATATTGTAAATATAAATGTAAAAATGTATATTTAATGTAATTTATAGATTATATTAATATGAATAATAACCATAATCATATACATTTAATTTGCAGCAAGAATATTATTATAGCAAAAATCATTAATCAAGAAGTTAGAGCAGGCTGCATTTATAAATAAATAATATAGATATACATTTTAGCTCCTACTCAAATAGCATGTTTTGTATATAATTCATTTAAAATAATGATTAAATTATTTTTATTATGGTAGCCGTAATATATCATTAAATAAATTACAATGATGACTGAAATAAATATACAGCAAATGCCTGCTATACAGTAAAGTATGGATCATGTTGGGGGATGTGTACCTGTGCTTGTGCCCTGCAGGGTGGGGAGTTTTGATGGTAAGTGCCTGGAATGGGCAGATCTTCATTACTGGTCTGCCTTCTCAAACACTGGATGTTGAAGTTTGGCTTTCGACCTGACAGATACAGGAAAAAATAAACAATGTTAGATTCACTGAAGAGCTGAACACGTTATATTTTGTGCAGTGCAGAAATATAGTAGTTGGTTTTACCTAAGGGAGTCGGGGGAAGCATACGTCGCCGTGCAGAGAAACCGTTACCGTTGTATCCGTTAGCATTGTATCCATTAGTATTGTAACCATTACCATAGTATCCATTGCTGCTGTAGCCGTTGCTGGAGTAATGGTTGCCTGGATAACCGGTCCCATTGTTACCATTAACATTGTAGCCATTTCCAGGGTAACCATTGCCATGGTAGCCACCAGCATCTTGACTGTTGCCTTGGTAACTGTTGTTGTCAATGTTATTGGGCTGAACTGGCGCCACACTTTCACTGCTCACATTAAGTGCCGGTGTTTGTGCTGGAGGAACCTCAGGAAACCACTGTCTGTTCAAACATCAACACAAACTCAGACAGATATATTCATTTGTGAGCAAAGTTTGTCAAATATGAGAAAGTCCCTTCTGTTTGAGTCATGTAAAGGTCCCAATATACTCACAGCGAAGTTCTTTTTTATTCTTCGTTTAGGGGTAAAAAGAAAATTGAAATACCTTTGCAGTGGTTTACTGTTAGCAACACTGACCACATTTGTTAAGAGCAGCGTTTAGATTAATATGTAAATATGTTTTGCGTGCTTTAATCTCAATAGCAATATAAACACAACTAAATGACAGCTGTGAGAAAACAGCA